CCTTTGGGGGGGGGGGGGGGGGACGGGGGGGGTTTTGGGGGGATTGGGCCCCTCGGAAAAAGGGCCACCGACGCGCCCCCCGGGGGGGGCCGGACGGGGGATAAAGGGAAATCTTCTTTTTTTGGGGGGGTTTAGTTGGGAGGGTTTCAATTTGGGGCGTAATTTTAGGGTGGGATTTGCGGCTTTTTTGCATTTTTCAATTTTTTTTCGGGAAAAAATTTTTTTTTGGGGAGCCGGGTAAGCCCCCCAAAAACCAAAGGGGGCCAAGATAAGGCTTTAGTTTTTTCTGCATAAACTTTTCCCCCATTTTTGTTCATTGTTCCTGTTTTTTGGTCGGACGTTTTTAAAAGTTTAAAGCAGAACCATTAAAGGGGCCCGCGGGTCGGTTCAGGGAGAGGTGGCTGGTTGGTTCCCGTCAATTTTAAAATTCCAATTAAAGGACCATTTGGTTTTTAAATTTTCCCTTTTCATGTCCTTTTAATTTTGCCCTTTTTTTGCATTTTTGACAGAAAGCAGCGTTTGGCCGCATAAAAAGCGCATTTGGCCTTTCGCGTAAATCCGATAATAGGATCAAAAGGTTCTTACCGTCCATGTTAGGGTGGTTTCATTTGACTTGGACGTGATAGGCTGGACCACATTATGCAGCCTGATTTTGAGCTTGTGTTGGGCGTAAAGCCAAGAGTGTCCGTCAACTTGAATCTAGTCCCTTTCCCGTCTGCCCTGCAGCCCTTAAGCGACTGTATCTTCCACTGCTGCTCGGGGTCCCCCCCCCCCCCCCCCCCCCTCGGCCCTCTTTGCACCCGCGGCCCGCTTGCGCCCCAAATTCCCAGCTCGCCTCCGTATCGAAGGCTGCCCTAGTTATCTATTAGCGCAAACGACGGCCGCTCGGCTGACGCGGGGAATAATGAAGTCAGAAAAGGCGGGGCGAGTTTACGAGCGAGCCATTGGAAGTCGCCTGGCCCTGCCCTGCTGCCCCTGCCCTGCGCTGCCCTTTCCCCCTCCCCCTTCCCCCTCCCCCGTCAGCCACCTCCGGCCCCGCGAGTCCGGGGGGTTGGGGCGGACGGAAAGGTTTTTTTGCCGTACCACTCGTGGGAGGGTGAGGGGCTGTGCACGTGATGCGCTGGTCCCTGAGACGTGGGCAGGGTGTCCGCACTTGAATCTAGTCCTTTCCCGTCTGCCCTGCACCCCTTTGCGACTGTCTTCCTCTGCTGCGGTCTGGCCTCGCACCGCGGCCCGCTTGCGCCCCAATCCCAGCTCGCCTCCGTACGAAGCGCCCTAGTTATCTATTAGCGCAAACGACGGTCCTGACGGGGGAAAATGTCAGAAAAGCGGGCGAATTTACGAGCGAGCCTTGGATCGCCTGGTGCCCTGCTGCCCTGCCTGCTGCCCTTTCCCCCCCCGTAGCCACCTCCGGCCCCGCGAGTCAACTGGGGCGGACGGAAAGCGTCTGCCAGACCAACTCGGGGGAGGGGAGGGGTGTGCAGTGGCGTGGTCCTGGCGTGGCAGTGTCGCTGGGCTCAAGCTTCTTGGCCTCCGCTGCGCTCTGCTCGCTCTGCTGCGAGTTGCAGGCCACGACATGCCGAAGCAATCCAGGTCCCTCAGCACACAGCCCTGCAGTGTACACACTGCAACAGTACCCCGCCCCCGCCCGCCGCGTCCCTGGAGTAGCGTCCCGGCCTGCTTGCCCAGGCGGCCGAGGCCGGCCGAGGCCCTAGACCTCGATGTGCGAGGCTGCGAGGCGACTGGGCACACGACAAGCACCCCGTCCCCGGAGTGAGTGGTATCTGGACGAGCCCGAACGTCCACTGCCACACGAACATCTCAGAGCAAAGCGCACAAAAACGAGTAAATGTTTGCGCAGCCAGCCGTGCCGTGCCTTGCCCTGCCTTGCCCTGCCGTGCCCTGCCCAGCGCGCGTGCCGCGCGTGCTCACGGCGTGCTCTTTCCAGGACTTCCGCTCTCGTCTCGGCCGCGATGGCCCGATCCGCCCTGACGCCGCGGCCCCGGCGCGGCCTCTGCCCCCGCCACGTGGTGTGGGACGCGGACTAGTCGGACTAGGCTCGTCGTGAACCTCGGCACCGCCCCGCCGCCGCCATGGCCATGTGCTGCGTGCAAGCGGAGCGCGTGTTCCCGGCCTCGGACTCCGACGAGGAGGTGTGTCGCCACGAGCTGCCCCTCGAGTCGCAGTGGGCCGAGGCGTGCTCGCACCGCCAGTACTCGCAGCCCTACGGCCCGCCCGCCGCGGCCTCCAACACGGCCTCCAACACGGCCTCCAACACGACCTCCAGGCAGTCGCGGCAGCAGCGCCACGCTCGCGCCTCGCAGCGCGGCGCCGCCGGCCACAGCGGCCACGCCCGCCGCTCCTTCTCGTCGTCCGTCGTGGCGGACCTGCGCGCCGTCGAGCAGGACTGCATCTTGGTGAGTCAGCAGCGGCAGCAGCGGCAGCATGAGGGCGAGGGTAGCCGTTGACGTAGCGTTGTCTAGTTTACCTTCGCTGGCGCTGCACTGGTAAAACTAAAGCGCTAGAGTTACGCTTGAAGACGTACGCTTGAAATCAAGCATACTTGGAAATCCCCATGCATTAGATAGGGGGAATCTTGGGGATGAGCTGTTACGCTTGATTTCAGGCGTAAACAGATTACGCTTGAAAACGGAGGGTAATACTACGCTTTAGTTTTACCAGTGATGAAGTCGTGGTCCATTGCCGGAAAGTGACGACAGTAACCTGTTTTGCGGACCGCTGTCCGGCACATGACTTTGATGCGAATCAAGTAAAACATGACCCGAAACAGGTTCCAATTTACCCGTGAACCTCGTTTCACGCGCCAGCAGCGAGCGAGCGCGCGGAGTGACCCGAAACGTACACTATTTTTGTCAGTGTACGCTTCCGCCGCCATGTGCGGCGCGTCGGACTCGGCGGCTGCGGCCGATGAGGGTACGGCGGCGTCTTGCCCGGGGAAGCCTCGCAAGTTTGAGACGCCACTGCATGGAACGTCCACCCCTAAAAAGCAGCGCCGCCAGACCGGGCCGGGCCGGCGGAGCGCCTGCGGGCCGCGGGGTAGGCCGTCCGCTCGACGCGCCTGCACTGCACCGGCCGCGTTGCCTGCCATCACGGCGCTCTGCCGGTCTGCCGGCCCTTTTTGCCGTGGACTGCCTGCCCGCCTGCCCGCCCCTCTCCTCGGCGGGCTGTGCCCGGGGCTGCGCCTTAAGCTGTACTTAGTTGCGCCGGAAGGTGTCGCCGCGCCACTTTATAGGGCGGATCAGTCCCAGTCGCGGCCACCCAGTCCATCGCTGTGATCTCCCCCACCCCCTTTCCTTCCTCGCTCCCCACGCCTCCCGCCTTCGAGCTCAAAGACTGCGCCGGAGAGCTCGCGGCCGGGGCCGTTATTGAAAATTGCCCGCTCCTGTTGGGCCCGTTCGTAAATAATGGCACACACACACACACACACACACACACACACACACAACATACATACACACACACACACACACACATTCACCCCGCCCCCAAAAAACACACACACACTCAAACGGCAGGCGGCGTCGTTGTCATTCTCCGACGGATGCGCCGCTTCACGTCCGGTATGCTTTTGTTCGGCACCACACTTTGCTCACAAACTTGAAAAAAAAAAAGTTTCTGTGCGAATCTGTTTTGTTTTGGGCTGTCTTGCTGCCTTTGTCGTGACCACACTGGTGAAACAAACTCTGCGAAAACAATTTACTCCCCTGGCATTAATTTGAATGCCCTTCGCTGAAACGGTTCATGCGCTTGAAGAGCGTGAAAGCCTGTTAACGCGTTTGTTTTTACCAGTGTAGTTTCTGTGGCTATTTCGCGAAAATTTGGTTGCTGAGGTGTGTGCGAAATGAAACCGGTCAGTACATACACGGGCGCCCCCCCCCCCGCCACACACACACACATACATACACATTCGCTAGTGTCAGTCAAAAGTGGTCCCGGCGGCAAGGCGTCTCGCGCCTCGTTCTCCCCGCGGTGCCTCCATTCCGCTTCCTCGCGTTCGTCCGCTCGCCCCGCTTTGCTTGCTGGACGTCTTTTTATCAGTGAGCCGGAGGGGCCATTTGGGGCGCGTGGCGCAGCGTGGCGTGGCGTGGCGTGGCGCGGCGCGGCGTGCCGTTGTTTGTGCGCGACGTCGAGACTCGCTGCCTTCCGAGGCTTCCCGGCCGTGCCCGGTCCCCAGATGCGCGGCGCGACGGACCGCGGCTCTCACTCGGTGGCTTGCTGGAGTCGGGACTGCGGCTCCAGCACTCCAGGACTCCAGCACTCCAGGCCGCCCGGGGCGCAGCAGCCACCTGCCAACCTCGTGCACTGGAGTGGGAAACGTCCCAGCCAATCGACGGGCCTCGCCGTCGTCGCCCCACTGGAAAGTGGTTGCATCGTTTCTTCCTTGCTTGCATTCGGCCGGAAACTTCCGATCTCATTCAAAGGTGCTGACGGTGGCGCCGAGGGGGTAACCACTCGCGTAATACCCTGTACACAAAAACCGTGTATTACGCGTAATACACGTGGTCGTAATACCATTTCTGGGTCAAATGTGCCAAATTTTGTCATTTTTAGGCCGTAATACACGTGTAATACCCCCGTAATACAGCGTAATACCGAGTAGTCTGTACGCGATTTCCTGAAGTGTTTACCCCCTCGGGTGGCGCGACCCCACTCGGGCGAGTGTCAAACCCCTCTCTGCTCGGCCGGGCGTTGGTCCGTGCCGGTCGTTGGCATCCCTGGCGCGCCGCGCGTGGCGCTGGTGGCGCCCGCTGTGTTGACGGTCGCAATGAGCACTTCTTTCCACCTGGATGGCGCGCCGCCGCTGTGGCTTCTCGTTAATGCACGGCGAACCGCTGGAGTGCGGAAAAGGACGAAAAAAACGGGAGGTTTGCCCATTATCGGAGGTCGGCCGGCCATCAGTGGCTGGGGGCGAAGGACTCGCTCTGCATCGGCTGGCCTGGGCTGGCCGCGGTTGCAGGCATCGTCCCTTGCCGGACACTCCCCCCCCCCCCCGCGCGCCACGACAAGGACCTCCAAACGGAGAAACGGACCGCTCGTCCACCATCGGCCCGGCCAAAATCCCCTGTGGCCGGACCGCGGACCGCTCGCAGAGCTGGTTTCACTCTGATTCCTGCCTCTCCTGCCTTCTCCACCTCCTCACGGCCCGCGAATCACACGTAAAAAAAGAATTTGTTGTGGCAACGAAAATGTATGTTGATTTTGGGATAGCTAAAAAAAGTTGTTGGGCGTACTACCAATTTGTTGTCAGAACGAACATTTCGTTCTGACAACGAACTATATCGTCAGGAGTACTAAACACAATAAAAATGAATGTTTGTACTCCTGACGAATAATTTGTCGTGAGAGCAAAGTGTTCGTTCTCACAACAAATTTATAGTACGTCTAACAACTTTTTTTTTGCTATCCCAAAATCAACATACATTTTCGTTGTCACAACAAATTCTTTTTTTCCGTGCAGGCGCGGGGTGCGAGTGGGGTGCGAGTGGGGTGCGAGCGTGGCGCGTGTGGCTGTCGGTGGCTGTCGTCGGGCTGCCGCCGTACGTCGCCGAGATGGCCTGCGAGGCCCGCAGCTTGGCGCGGCGCCCGCAGGTACGGCCGGCGAGGAGAGCGCCGTGCCAGCCCTCAAGTCCGGGGTGGACCAACCCGGCTCCTCGCCGCCCTCCCCAAGAAAAACTTAAACAAGAACGCCGGGATGTCGCGCCCCACCCCGTGGAGTGTTTGCGACGATTCTTGCCACTTTGCTGGTCTGGTCCGTTTGGCCGCGCGGGGCGTGGCGTGGCGGGGCGGTGTGAGGCCCCATCGGCCATGCCAGCCACGTAGTCCCCCCGCCGGCTCCCCTCGGGGACCGGGGCGGGCGAGGCGGGCGAGGCGGGCCAGTTCGCGCGCAGTAACCCACCCCCGAGGGCTCATAACTAGGGCTGCCGATACCCTGCGGCTTGTGTGCTGGAGAGAGATACAGCAAACACCCACAATGTTTCGCCTCGCGCCAGGTTTTGGCAGCACAAGGTATTCGAGTTCAACTCGAGAACACGAAAGTAATTTGCTTTAAGCACGAAGCTCCGGCTGGGCGATATCGAAATTTCAGTATCGCGATTGCGATTTCTCAAATATCGCAATATTGCATGCGATAAATCGCAAAATCTTAAAAAGAACGCAGAATTGCAAATAATTGATCGCAAAATCTTAAAAAGAACAAAGAATCGCAGATAATTGCGAAGTCACAAATAATCGCAAAATCACAAATAACCGCAAAATCACAAATAAAAATCGCAAAATCACAAAATCTCAAAATCACAAAATTGCATAAAAATCGCTTAGTCCGGCATCATTTACGTTTTCAGCCGTTTTCAGCACCGTAATTTCCAGAACGGTCCTGGCAAGCCCCGATTTGATGCCTATGTCAGCCTGGCAACGACACCCACAAAAAGTGTTTCTGCCTGTATCTTGCTGAAACAGCGAAACGCCATCTGCACCCGGCTGCATAGCACGCCATGTACGTCACTCAGCCTGTCGAAGGCACGCTAACACATTTGTGTGCCGGAGAGCCGAGCCAAAGCGGCAGCGGGGTTCCTCTGCCCTTCCATAACGAGAGGCAGAACGGCAGATGCGTACCCGTGTGAGTGTTGATGTTCGTGAAGAAAAAGAGGTAAAGTTAGGGTCGCGAAGGAGAGAGAGAGAGAGAGAGAGAGAGAGAGAGAGAGAGAGAGAGAGAGAAAGAGAAAGAAAATCCCTCTCCGTGGGACGAGGCGGCATCGCGGACCTGGCGGGCCGAGGCACACGACACTGTAGGCACGCCGGCAACGCCGGCAAAGGCAACGCGCGGCGGCATCACGCTAAAAGATGTGAGTGGATTACACGCCCCTCCCGACGCGTGCGTGCCGCGTGCGTGCCGCGGCAGCATCCCCCGTGCCATGCAAATACTGTGGGCCCGCCGCCACGCCGCGCCACGCCGTGCCAAGACGCGTCGCCGCGCCCCCAAGTGGCCGGTGCGCCGTTTGTCGCTGCCTCTATGAAAAATTCATCGGGCTAGGCAGCAAGCTCCGCACTTTTGCCTAGCCGGCCTGCCTGCTGCCTGCCTGCTGCCTGCCTATGGCCCGGGGCGGCGGAGGCAGATGCGCCAAGAGGCTGGGCAAAGTGATTCTCGTAGCTAGACCTAGTTTTGGGAGATCATACTAGCACGCCGTCGAGGACGAAAAAACTAGGGCACGGCACGCTGCCTCTCTCTTTACCCATTTTGTTCTCTCTCTCTCTCTCTCTCTCTCTCTCTCTCTCTCTCTCTCTCTCTCTCTCTCTCTCTCTCTCTCTCCCTCTCTCTTTCTCTCTCTCTCTCTTGGGGGGAGGGGGGTACATTTTGTGGCAGGAGAATGTAAATGGTCTAAAAGTTAATTAACTTGCTGTTTACTACCCGACCAATTCGTAAACATTGGGCGTTTCTGCAACAAAGTGTTTGCTGAGATCTCCCCGCCTGCGCTATCGCGGTGTGTGTGTGTGTTAATTTAATCTGCCCCACCGCTGAGTTTATTTACAGTCGCTTCTAACTATTAATTATGACCCCGAGTAATTGTAACACCGTAATGCGTTCAACGGGGGCGTCCGCCAGCGCTCCCCCACTGCTGAAACGAGAAATGTGAGGAAGCACTCGTCTAAGCGTGAATCGTGTCACGTTCTTTTGACTTTTGTGTAACACGCGTTTCTGTGTGAGTAGAGGCCTGTGTAGCCGGTCCACGCCATGCATGTCGTCACATTCCTGGAGGACTAGCCCAGATGGGCCACCTAATCCTGCCTGGGAGGGCGCGCCCTGCCCTTTGAAATCCGGCGAAAGCTGACGAAATCCAACGAAATACCTTTTCCTTAGAAATCTTGTGTATCTAAAGGTCAAAAGTCGGTTGCTTCCTCGGCGTGCCCAAGGAAAATCACCGTGAATTTTGGCGTACAAATCCAATGAATTTCAGTCAAATTTCGACGAATTTCTGACAAATTTCGATGAATTTCAGTCAAAGTTTGATGAATTTTAGTAAATTTTACATGTTTGATGAATTTTAGTGAATTTTACATGTTTGATGAATTTTGGTGTACAAATTTGGCTATGGTCATTTCCCCTTGGTGGGCGCCGCACCTCCGCAGGCGGTTATCTTTCTCACACTTGCTGAACTTTCCCAAGCGGAGCCGGTGTACATTATTTGCTGCGAATCAAGTGACTAGTGGAGTGCGCGTAGTTCGGTCCCGAAGAAACTCGCCTCGTGTCAGGGCTGGGCTGAGCGGGGCGGGCCGGGTTGGGGTAGGGCGGGGCGGGGTAGAGTGGGGTGGGGAGGGGAAGGGTAGGGTGAAGCTACACGGCTCCAATGACGCGCCCAAAGTTTGCGACTTCTCCGCAAGCGAGCTCTGTACTCCTCGCCATATTGCGTTTCGCGTCGTGAAATGGAAATCGTTGCCGCGGAGCGCGGAGCGCGTGTCGGCGTGGCGGCGCGGCGCTGCCCGGGGCGGAGCGGGCGGAGCGCGGACCCATTGATTGTGGAGAGAAAGGCTGGATGCGCCGTATCCCTCAACTCCAAAGACAATCGCGATGGTTGGGTGGGTCAATGTTAACCGCAGATGCCGCCGATGCTGGCGGCGCGTTGGACCGAAGCGCACACAGCGTGTCCCCGTGTTGGCTTTATTCGTGCGATGCGGTGTCCAGATTCCACGGACGTCGTTTTTTTCCTCGGTTTTTATTCACGCGGGCGAGTGCATGTGTGGATGTGTCGGTGTGTGGGTGGCGACTCTCTTTTTCCATCGATAGCCACAGTGCGGGCGTGCTGGCCGCAGGGTGCCGCGCGGTGCCGCCCGGTGCCGCCAAGCTGGAGTGGGAGGGGGAGGGGGTTGAACTCGGCGCGATCCTTGTGAACTCTCTCGCCCGGCCCGCCCGGCCCTCAAGGTCGTCTCTTGCCCCCTTGCGTTGAATCGGCGTGCCGTAAAACTTGGAGCGTCGTTTGCCAGCGAAGCCCCCCCCCCCCCTCTGGCCGCGCCGCTCTGGGCCATGAACCCCACCGAGCCCTGGGGGTTGTGCGGCATGGCGCCATAGCAAACAAAGGGAGTTTAGCGCGTGCGTACCGTGGGGTGGTATTACCGCCGTCTCTGTCTTTTTACCTGATTTTCTTGGTTTTTTTTTTGTCGACGTGCGCACTTTATAGTTTAATCGACCATTGATTTCCACCAAAACAAAAGGTATTTTGATGAACTTTTTGGGACCAGGCCAGGCCTCTCCCAATCGAATGCACCCCCAGGCCAGACAACTCACTTTACAATCAAATGAGGTCTGTCCCCGATTCAAAAACAAAATATTACCCTTTTCGGCGTGATAGGCCTGTCTCTGATTCCAAAAATCTAATATTACCCAACGGAATGGGAGGTGGGGCCGAGCAGCTCCCAATAGCTGGCGTGCAGCCATGTACCGCGAGTGTGTATGTGGGTGTGTGGATTATTGGGGGAGGGCAGGTCATCCAGTGCTGCGTCAGCTGGGCGCTGCTATTGGGAAGTCCAGGTGTTGATGGCGGCAGAGGCGAGGCGGAGCTGCTTTGGTGCCAGGCAGGCAGCCACCGACTCTAATCAACAAAGTTCTTGCGCCGTGATTATGAGCGAGTCGTTGTGGCCGCTGACGGTCTGACCGCCGCGCGGTTGCAACCTGTTAACTCTTCGGTCCGCGGGCGGTGCAGGCGGTGCGGGCGGTCCGGGACTCGCCCTCGCACACGCCGGGCTGCACACTCATTACACCGAGGACCGCGTTGCGCTGCGTTGCCCGGAGTGGGCGGGAAGCGCAAAGATTAAGTTGTCCTGGAGCAGGATAATAAATTGGGGGAGGTCGGGTCGGGCTGCACCGCACCGCTCGGCGGCAAGGCCCTGCCCGCCCTGCCCGGCCCGTCCCGGACCTGCCTTGTGAGGCAGAGATATGCCTAGGCAACCCGCGGCACGGCGTCGTACGCTCCAAATTAAATGCCATCCGTCAGCAGTGGGGCGGCGGCGGACCACAGAGGGCAGGCTGGCTGGGTCTGGCTGTGGCTGGGCCTTGGTGGGTGGCGCTCGGGGCGGCAATGCCATTTGGCGACGCCAAGCGACGCCCGGGGACGGTCATCGCGGCCCTCGACGCCCTGTTCCTCGCCAATGACGTCTCAGACCGTGCCTCGGCCGGCATCGGCCGGGCGTTGGGGTCGGTGGAGCCTGCCTAGAGCTACAACGCATAGCCAGCGCCTTAGGACGAAGTCTGTTCCCGAAGCGCTGCCCGCCCGTCCGTGGAAGCGTTGCTCACTCGATTCTGTGCGGTCCAGCCGAAACTCAATTCTCGGAACACTGCTCAGGGGCGTGCTCGATCGGATGGCTTGCCGATGGGAGCAAACCAACAGTATGGACAGTTCTTGTAACCAACATGTAGCAATTTTGTGCACTATCTGGTGACGAAATTGCAACTGGCCAGTGAAAAAATTGTTTTTGGCTGGTCACAATTTCGTCGCCAGATATAGTAGTGCACAAAATTGTTTCCAGTGGTAACAAAACTCTGCCGAGTGCATGAGAAACTTCACGATGTCCGGGGAAGTGGTTTCTGTGGTGTTGCTTTGCCTGCCGCACGTTTATTTCACGTCTCTGCGCTTGGCGAAAACAAAGAGAGCACCCCGACGTGGTGTTGAAGAGTATTAAAAAGAAGAGCGTCATTGTATAAAGTGATGGGGGAGGCCCCGCCCCGCCTCGTTTGGTAAGTGGAACGCCGAGTAGCCGAAGGGGCACCGGCCAGGCTGCCGACCGCTGCCGAGCGCAGCCGAGCACTGTCGAGCAGGGGCGAGTTGGGCATCCGGCCTGCGGCACCGCGGAGCCTGATGACCAGGGGCCACGCCTGGGCGAACGAGGGGATCTAACGCACACAAACGTAATCGTCAAGAAAGCATCAGTCTCAAATGTCGAAAAAATGAAGATTCTTACGGCAAGCACAGCAAAAGCATTAGTCTCAATTGTGAAGAAAATGAAGATTCTCACAGCAAGCACAGCGTAAGTCTCAAATGCTGAAGAAAATGAAGATTTTCACAGCAAGCACAAAGCATCAGTCTCAAATGTTGAAGAAAATGAAGATTCTACAGCTAGCACAGAAAAAGCATCAGTCTCAAATGTTGAAGAAAGTGAAGATTCTACAGCTAGCACAGCAAAAGCATCAGTCTCAAATGTTGAAGAAAATGAAGATTCTACAGCTAGCACAGAAAAAGCATCAGTCTCAAATGTTGAAGAAAGTGAAGATTCTACAGCTAGCACAGCAAAAGCATCAGTCTCAAGTTGAAGAATGAAGATTCTACAGCGAGCACAGAAAAAGCATCAGTCTCAAATGTTGAAGAATGGAGATTCTACAGCTAGCACAGAAAAAGCATCAGTCTCAAATGTTGAAGAATGGAGATTCTGCAGCTAGCACAGAAAAAGCATCAGTCTCAAATGTTGAATAAAATGAAGATTCTTACGGCAAGCAAAGCAAAAGCATCAGTCTCAAATGTTGCAGAATGAATATTATACAGCTAGCACAGAAAAAGCATCAGTCTCAAATGTTGAATAAAATGAAGATTCTTACGGCAAGCAAAGCAAAAGCATCAGTCTCAAATGTTGCAGAATGAATATTATACAGCTAGCACAGAAAAAGCATCAGTCTCAAAGGTTGAATAAAATGAAGATCCTCACAGCGAGCACACTGACTGCGGGCTAGCCTTGCCAGGGCCGCGAGAGGGACTCCGCCACGTCGCGCGCCTTGGTGGCCACCTTGCCGCCGGCCTCCACCAGGCCCTTGGCCGACTCCAGGATGCGCTTGGCCTCCTCCAGCATGCCTTGCGCAGCGCGCGCTCCGGCCGGGCCCTGCAACAGGGAAGCAATGCAGGGCGCGCTCGTCGCGGGGCGCCCTCGACTGGCGGGCTGCGCAGCCCGCGCAGCGCCAACGACGCCCATTGAAAAGGCGGCTTTGAATTAATTATTGGGGAAGTTTGTAAGACGCGTCCGGGGCGGACGCGGGCGGGGCCGCTCGGCCGTGCAAAGTTGGGGCAGCGAATTAAGGCCAGCCCCGTGATGTGTGAAGCCGAATCGGTAATGAGTCGGCGAAGGAAGCTTCCGGAGGAAGCGCCGCTTCCAAGTTGGCGGCGGAAAGAGACGACTCGAGACGCGCTCGACAAGCGCGAGGTGTACACTAGACTCGATTGTCATGCAAGAGTGCGCGTCGCAGATGCTGACGAGATACACGTAGGGCGCTACCTAGCTGTCGCCGAGTCACTCTCTCGGCGCAGGGCGTTCTCACCAGTTTGGCGACCTCGACGGCCGCCGCGGCCAGCTTGGGCACCTGCTCCAGCACGGCGGGGAGCGCGTCCAGACCGGGCAGCGCCTGCCGCTGCCGCCTTACCGTGCCCATGAGGGAGCGGGCCGCGCCCGTCAGCTTCTGGGCCTCCTCTACCATCTTCTGGATGGCGCCCGGCGGGTCGGTGAAGAAGGACAGCAGCGCGCCGACCACCTCCAGCAGGGTGTTGAGGATGTCGGAGCCGAAGTCGCCGCCCTCGTCGCCGCCGGCGTCGTACGGCTCCTCGGTGGTGGTGGCCTGCGCGTCAGTAGCACAACAAGTAGCGCCGTGCCTCGGACACCGCAGCACGCGGAGCACGCAGGGCACGCACCTCCTCAGCCGCCGCGGCCGCCGCCGGCGTGGTGGTGCCCCCCTCCGCGGCCACGACCTCCTGGCCCCGCGCCGAGGCCACCAGCGACGAGGTCGACGAGGGCGAGCCCCAGGCCGCGCTGCGCTTGGACAACGAGTGCCATGTGTCAGAGTGCCGCACCTGCAAAAGGCACCAAAGTCAGCGAAGCAAGCAAAAACAAATAAAATAGAAATGGCCCACAGGTGACGTGCATTTTGCTGAACGCGGAGAGTTGAAAGAACGAGGAAGAGTGGCCAGGCTAGAACCGTCTGCCTTTACAATCAGTTCCCAACAGATTAACATCAAACAATACAAACAAACAGTCGCAAAAACGACGGCAGGAAAATGCGTGCTATCCGTTTTTTTTTCACAATGGGACGCTTATGACGCCCCGCGCAGTATCATCGCAATCCCAGCGTAACAAACGGGCTCTATTAGAGGCCGTGTATAAACGCTTGGCACGCTTTCCACCTCGTGTTTTCCTTCCCCACCCCCCACAATACAGCAATTCATGACCAACAAAATTACATTACCACGACTCCATGGTAGCTAGAACAGGCACGGGCAGCCGAGGGTATATCGTGGGCTTGGTTCTTTCCCAAGGGTGCCTCTGCGTGTGTGTTCGTGCACAGGTGTGTGGGTGGATGGTTTGTTGTTTGCATGAGCGTAAACAGAATGCGTGAAGGGCCGGGCTTCTGTCACACCCCTGGCATGGGTAAGGCAAGAGTCCTAGATTCCGCGACTGCAGGTCGGGTCGGGGCTGCCGGATGCTGAAAGACCAAAATGCTCCACGTCGCTCCGCACGCGGCGTCGTCCATTTCAGCGGACATGGCCGCGCGGCGGTGACCGCGAGTCCGCGACCCAAAAGCCCAATGGACCGGCCGGCATCGCGTGTGGCGTGGCCCTGCATGGCACGGCGAGGCACGCGGCGACGACATGCCCTATAAAGTGGGCGCCGCGCGCCAGGCAGACGGCGAGAAATGGCCTGGGACACTGCAGGACAGGTCAGGCACGGCGCAGGCACGGCGCAGGCACGGCGCAGGCACGGCGCAGGCTCGGCGCAGGCGTGTCCGGAGCGTGCCCTATCCCGATCTCTGTGCATTCTCCGGGCGACGCCTCCCCCCACCCTAGCCCGGCTATACGTCACGAGTCCCGACGTCCCGACCCAAATACCCGCCTCATTTCACACATGCCCAGACCTCCCAGACCGCTCCCCCTTCCCTCTCCTCCGCCCGTCTTTTTCGCCAGACTGCCCGGCTAGGGAGGGCGGGGGTGGCGGTCTCCAGGGCGGCCCGCTGGGCCGCCTGTGGGGCCGCCTGTAGGGTGGCACGGCGGGGCACTTTAGTCTGCCTTTCAGCGGATTGGTTCTCATTACAGGCGGTGCCGGGCGCCGCGCTGTGCCGTGCCATGCCGTGCCTGCCGTGCCGTGCATGTTACCCACCTGTCGTCGCCTGTAGCGTTTCATTAGCACCCCAACTCGATCGTGTCCCTTAAATCGCTCTTTGTGGGGACGGCCGCTCTGCCGCCCCCGTCGCGTGTTTCTTTGGCGGTGCTTACAGTGAGGCGGTGGACGGCAGCGCAGTCTAGCGGGGCGCGGCTGCTTCAACTTTCCCCGGTCTTAACCGTTCCCTTTTTTTCTGCCCCGCTTGCCCAGTCTCATGGCCCCTCGCTCTCTCCCTCCACTCTCCTTTTCTCTCTCTCCCTTCTTTCCTTAGTCTGTGGGGCCCAGTCTCTCTGGTCTCTGTTCTGGAGCAAACTGAAAAATGGGCCCCCGAGAGCTGTACATTGCAGTGAGAGGCTGGGTTGACCTGCTCTGCGACGCCGTGGAAGGCAACCCGACGCCCTCGTCGCCACACAACGCGGCATCGGGGCGTCCACACACCGGACTCTACACCTCCAATCCAATGATAATCTTTGCAAAAGTCAACGTGATACGTGGCCACTTTAAGGCAGCTGAAAAAAATGTTCGGGTAGCAGCACTCAAAATCCACCTCTCCACTTCTTGCCACTCCAATCCACAGGCCATACAAAATGTCTTGCCTAGGTGTGGTGAGAACCAGAAAGACTTGCCAAGAAATGGTCCACAAATCGGTCCGACATTTTTTTTGCCTTGTCACAGTTTGGCCCGAATGGTCAACCCACTTAATGCGAGTCTCTGACCATTTTGTGGCAAGGGTCTGGCCAAATGATCCACGAAGCGGAAGAAGGGGTCAAGTCGAGTTGATTCAGTGACCTCTTATCAGTCTTTCATGTAAACATGAGCGAAAATTTGGTCCAAAAATAAGTGTGGTGAGACACGTCCCATCCTCTTGCATCTATTTCTAGATGACATTCCCCACCTGTTCTTCCACCTGCAAGGTTTAGGCCTTGCAAAAGTGCACGGATTCAACTCTACTTACCCCCTTCTTCCGCTTCCTGCACGGCAAAAGCACCGCCTGGGATTCCCAGGCGGTGCCTGGAAAATAGGCCCTTTTTCCCATGATGCGCCTGGGAATCCCAGGCGGTACTTTTGCCGTGTGGATCAAACTTTGTCTTGCCACATTTTTACGCGCAATCTCGCATTCAATTTGCAGTGGAATGACATTGATCTAACCGCAGACCTCGTTGATCACGCTGGCACAACACAAGGCTTCCTCATCCCATCGCACACATCTAGAGCGTCCAATCCGCCTTCGCGGAGCTCAGAACGTCTCGACACGCCACAGAGGGAAACCCAACCGCCCATGCCAACCCCCTTGCGCGGTGGATGCGATACGAGGCGTTACGCGCGCGGGGCCAGCTCGGGTTTCCATTGCTCGAAACTTGCTGTTCGGAAGCGCTGCCCCGCAGGCAGACGCGCGCGGCGTGCGTTGATCCCCGTGTGCGGTAACGCGCGCAGCAGCGCACGCTCACGCTCGCCCAAAGGGTCCCAGAGAGAAGAAGAGATTGTCCGCGTTTCGCGTGCCTCTGAATGGAATCTAGGGAGCCAGCGGGCGCCTCACGCAACGTACTGAGGGTGTCTAAACCTGGACAAAGTATTTTCTTTGTAACCTAACACAAGTTCAACATACCTTGCACACGTACAGTTTTTTTTTTTTTTCGCGACGTCATTTAAAGTTTGTAGTTTTGACTTTCTTTTCACATCTTTTCACTCACCCTGTGCACTGCGACGGCGGGCACGGCGGCGACGTGTGGCTGCGAACAGAGATTCGTTCAGAGATTAAATTCACCGTAAACTTCCAGCCCATGGTCATCGCTTCATTGCTTCGAACTATATCGCACCAATTTCAAGCCCCTGGATCTACAGTGTGGTTCGCAGGAGCAACGCCAGTCGAGGTGAACGCTGTCTCTCGACCATCAAAACTTATTCCGGCCCTTCAAGGCGACCACGGACCACGGTGCTTGACGCTCTCCAGTTTTAATAATAAATACAAAACATCAAAGTCGCGCTCTGCGAAGCAGCCGGCTTTTCAGACTTCCCCAGACGCTTTGTTGGTCGGCAATGGCTTTGAAAAACTGGTCCTTACAGACCACGACAAAGTTGCTACCGTCAGAGGGCCACCTTCCTTCTCCAAGATGAAAACAAAATAGCTGCTCCACTGCAAATGGGTCGAGATCGAGGGTAACGCGTTGCGCGCCGTGCTCGTCTGCAAGTTTGTAGCCGTGTTATTCAAGCACGCCTCGTATTTGTTTAGTAATGGGGCGCTGTTTGCTCGTGATGCAAGTGTACCTTCAGGAATAACTAGGCAGGGTTTGCTCACCAGCGTCCTGAGGGGAGCTACGGGTATCGCCCACAGAGCGATCATGACGCTGCATACGTGCTGCAGGATCCGCATCTTCGCATTATGCCGTCAACACCTGCAGGGCACAAAACATGCACTAATTAATTTTGTTGCTTTACAGGTAAGTGTCGCCCGGACTGAGGACTCCACCAAGACTGCCCGCAGCCTGTGCTGTGCTGAGTGAGTAACTACACGGTAAAAACGGTTCCTGGTTTTCCCAGGAACTTCCTGGAAATCGCCTATACCTTCACCATTGGCGTCCTGGGAAAACCAGGTTCCGTTTTTACCGTGTGGGCGCTTTAGAGAGATGGAGATTAATCTGGTTACGATGGAATCCCCTGCTTCTTGGCTAGAAAATTCTCTTGTCACAACGAAAAATGCCTTCGCTCAAGGACATTCGCGTTTCACGGTGGGTGCCCTGTGCCCAGCACCTTCACTAATTGTCAAAGATAGACGTGCTAACAGTGTAGTTGCTCTGGGGACGGTGTTGCCTACCTCACGGTCGTCGCGCTGAGGGGTCACTGGGGGCGAGGCGGGGCAAGGCGCGCTGGGCAAATCTCGTGAAATATTAATGAATCCGAAGGGAAACGACTGTGGGCGGCGTTTGACCTTTGAGACGCGTCCACGGGGACGAAGAAAGCTGTCCCGGGAAATAAAATGAAGACCTTTCACCACGCTCGATGATTCCCCGATAATTAGGAAAATTAAATTTGCAATTGTGATTGTTTTCTTTCAAGTAAGGCCCATGCCCAAGCTTCTCGCCGGACAGGGTCGTCGATGAGGCGGTTCCCTGGCGGTGCCCTGGCGGTGCCCTGGCGGTGCCGTGCCCCCGTTCCGCGGCCGCCCGAAACTCTCGCTGCGGTAATGGATTTGGCCACGACTTCAGCGCCGACCTGCCTGCCTATCCTTAGCTGACCCCGCCCCGCCCCGCCACACTCCGCCCCACCCGGGCTCCAATAACTTCCCCCCGCTTGGAAACGCCCGCCGGGACCGCTCGCCGGACCGCTCACTGTGAGTTTTGCATGAAAAGGGGCGAGCTACAATGCCTCATCCTGCCGCGTGTACACACCGGGGAGACACTCCGGCCGGCCGCCCGCCCCGCCCTCACCGGAACCCACCCCATCCTGGCGGGAATCAACATGTACCAGTGGGTGGGGATCTTCCTGGCATATACTTACCAGCCCTACACTGGTAGACCGCTGGATCCGCAAATCCGCTAAAACAGACGTGTGGTCCTGCTTCAATATCAAGGATCAAGTCAACAGGATCCGACGGAGATCATAGCTTGTCGGCTGTGTAACATTCGTGGATCGACTCTGCAATTGATCTGAATCTTGCCTTCCAAATCCGATTGTTTACTGGCTACTGAAAGTTGATCTAGTTCCTGCTTCCTAGGTCTGACCAAACAGATCCAATTTGATAACCGGATCCAGCTCAAAAGGTCCTTGCGTTTGAATCCAGTGTACCAGGACTCCCTTGAAGCAGACAGTCGGATCTGCTCCGCTCCAAAATATGCACCGTTATCGTTGAACCGGTTAACCGAGTGTATGGTAAAATTCCGATCACTTTCCACGGACCGTGGTCGTCTTGATAACTTGGTCCACATGCAGACAGGTGAGCCACTGGCGTGCTGCCGTCGGCTCCCTGTCGCCACTCACCGAGCGAATGCGCGCGTCCTGCCTCGCCGCCACTGTGGGACTGGCGTCGCCACCGCTGCAGCCGGACTCCTCCGGCCGGTACTGTACGCCAGTCAGCGGCGTAGCGGCGTGGCAGGGTGGCCCGCTAGGGGCCGCTTTTCGATGGCGTGTCTCACACGGTCCGTCGAGTTCGGACGATTTTCGCCCCGTTTAGCACCCACCACCTTCTTTCCTCGGCCTGGATCGCACCTGTTTTTTGAGGGAGAGCTAAAATGAGTCCTTGTTTGTTCGCGGCCCCCGCGGCCCCCGCGGCCCCCGCGGCTCGCAGTCGCGTGCGGCGCGGCGGGGCGATGAGATCTGGCCTCGCTCACGCTCATCCCGCGCGCCGAGCGATGAGTCGCCGCGGCCCATTTAGCTGCAGCCTCATTCCCAACGTTTCGTCGCTGTCTCCGTCGCACGTCCGCACGCCGCGACCCCTGAGTGCGAGGGAGACGGCGCGACGATGACGTGCGGAATCAGCCGGCTTCCGCCGCGATAGCGCCCCGGCCTCGAGGAGCCCGACGAGCCCGACTCGACGGCATACCGGGAATCTCTTTGCTTGGAGAGCCCTGGGCAGCCCTGGGCTGGAACGCGCCTCGATTGGGAATGTGCTGCCGAGTGGCATGCAGAGCGACGAGGAGCAAGGAGCCAAGCGCAGCGAGGCGAAGCATTCCACCGGAATGCTGTACGGAGCCGCCCATCGATACAGCACGCGCGGTCTCCGCCTACCCAGTGGCCGATTCAGGGTCAGTCTGAAGGACGGGCAAAGGGGCATCTTTTGACCGCTAACAGGAGAAAAGGGGGCTTTTTTTTGGCCTGCTCTTCGGGCGGCTTGAGGTAGAGAGGGGGGGACTGTCCTTTTACCCCCTCCCCCCTCTTTCCCCCATGCCGGATTCATGCCTGCCCGTATTCAACAACAACCAACAATAAACTCCTTGAAAATTGCGGTTGATCAATCCTTGAAAACGCACAAGGGTTTTGGACTGTTTTGGTACTTGTGGTGTGGCGAAAACCTGTTGCCCCGCTGGAAAACACACTGGCTGCCGCATTAAAAGCCGAGAGAGAGGCTCGCGTGGTAACGCGGAGAAGTGACGATCGGGACACAAAAAAGTGGGTCGCCGCAATGACAGCGGCGGAGCACATCGACGATGGCGTGACCGAGTGATCGCGGCACGGCACGGCCACCACAGCCACCGCGCTCGCCGCACGTACACTGAGGTTGTGCAATTCGCAGACCGGCGTCCGCTGCAAAGGCATAAGGACCCTCCCCTTGGTGGTGGCCAGCAAGGCAGCGCCGGATGCGGCGTCGTGGGGGTCGGGGTTGTTCAGTGTGGCCGGCGGGGCGGGCCGGCGGGGCTTTAGCTGGCCCACTAGCTTGTTGGAGAGCAGCGCTGCGGCCTGACTGCAGACCCAGCGTCTCAGCCGTCATTGTGCTTGGCTCGGCTTGCCTTGCTTGCCTGCGAGCGGCGCGTCTGCGCGGGTAGATAACCAGGGACAGCATTTGGGTCCCTGCCGTTGGTCAGGTTCGTCCAGACGTGCCTCTCTGGCTTCCCGCAGTTTGCTGTGCTCTCGCGGCTAAAACCTTGATTCTAGGCATATATGGTTCAAGCCTTTTAGTTTGAAGGGAGAAATACTTGCGCAAAAAGAAATGTATGTATTTAGGGTACAGTAGCCTGTTAAGCATAGACAAGCTTACAAGAATGTTCTAAATACTTTCTTAAAGCAACCATTTATCTTTGGATGGCCCGGGCTGAAACACGGTAAAATCGAAACCTGGGATTCCCAGGAGCCCTATGTTATAAGGTATAGGAGTTTCCAGGAGATTCCTGGGATTCCCAGGAAGCGTTTTCACCATGCATGTTGCAAGGTTTTTAAAGAGGATGCGCCATCATTTAGCGGCTGGAAAGCCGGTTGAGTCTCGCACACGCCGCTGCCAATGGATGGCTCTCGGATCGAGGAATGGATGGCTCCTGCCACGCGTTTGATTCGGATCGTATTTCCGGTCCGGCAGAGCCGCGTCCGTCTGGCCGCGCCGCCGAGGTGCCGCCGCCGAGCGCGGTGCGTACCGAGTCCTTATCGAGGCTGCCGCGGCCGGCCACAGCCAGCCTGCACACTGCGGGGGTCGTTTCGTCGCGCTGTCTCCCTCGCTCCTATGCGGGTCGCCAGGTGAGTGCGAGAGAGACGGAGCGACGAAGAGGACCTCCGGAATCAGTCTGCAGGGCCAGCCCCGCCAGATTAATTCGCAATTTATACGGATGATCCGCCACGCTGCGTTTTGCCGCGTCGCGCCGCCCATTCGGCCAGCGCCATAAACTGCTCTCGCGCATAAATGGGAATCGCGCTCGGGCCGCCATTACTAGACAGTGTGCACGCTGCCTCGCCCTGGCCGCCGCCCCACTGCGCGCTCACTCGCCGATCCCCTCGGCGGCTATCGGTAGGTACCGGTAGGTACACCGTTGTAGATCATTTGGAAAATCCCGAAACGTGGCTCCCGATGCTCCGTTGAGACTTTTCAGAGACTTTACATTTCAAAGAGATGAAATGAATGCCATGCCTGCTGGAAACTCATTCAAAATGGAGACACTGGAGTTGTTGGAATTTCCCGATGGTCACAGGCAATTTCTCCCTACGAGGTAGTGTAGAATACGCAGCACTTTGGGCAATCTTTTCCTGAAGTGGCCTCAAACAGTCTTTGTTGCGCATTTGGTTGGTTTTGGTTTTAGTCCTTTTTTTGACGCTGTGGCCCGAGTCTGCTTGTGCCGGGCGGTGGGTGTGGCTTGGAGAGATAACCATTTTCGACTTATAAATATTTACCCCGTCGGCTGGCGCCGCGAAATGCTGCACGGTGGTCGCGCGGAGACACAAAGCACGGCTCAGCCGCTGTGCAACAATGTCCTTGAATACTTTTTTTTAAAACAAGTTTAGAACCGTCGTAACAAGTTTCGCGGAGCTTAAAAAAATTCACTGCACGCATGGCTTCAGGTCTCCGGAGTTAGTAAGCATCAACCTGGATTTGAAAGGGTCATCCGTTCCATGGCCTCTCATATTTGCTCACAAGGTAATTTCTGTCTCCGCGTCGAGCAATCAGGATCGCATCAGTGAAGTTGAGACGGAAGCGCGGTGCATCGTGGCGTGCTCAAGTTTTGGGGGCATTTTCACTTGGTGGAGCACGGAGGATCGTTAGCGCGCCCCTATGTGTGTGTGCGTAGGCGTGTGTGTGTGTGGGTGTGTGTGTGTGTGTGTGTGTGTGCGTGGCGGTTATTTGCAGTCGGGGTATTATTCGCACGGCGCCTGTTAATGGCAGCGCGGAATGGGTTCGTTTATATGAACATCTCCTGGCAACACACACTGGTGCCGCCTTTTCCCTCCCCACTGTAATGGGATTGCCAAAACGAGCCTCTCGAAAGGGATGGAAAGGGGGGGGGGGGGGAGGTCGTCGTGCTCAAGTTTTCTCGTCGTTACCGGGAGCATCTGTTGGTGTACAGCCCCCTTCCGGCCATGGAGAGTCGTCCGTTGTTTCCATGCGAGAGGGCGTCGCTCCGCAGTGCCCCGCCAGGGCCGCGGTCTCGTAATTTGATTTCGTTCTGAAGAGGCCAAGTTGCGCTGCTTCTCCCCGGCGCGTGGTGTTGCGCTCGGCTGCTGGCTCAGCGCAGACTCGCGCAGATTGTCCGTCAATCCGCGCGCCGTGCTCGTTGTCACTCGCGGCAACCGCCGCGCGCGCCGCGTGTCAACCAGATGTCGCGCCGTGCTGATTTTCGCCGATATACAAAAAGCCGCGGCAGGCCTTCGTGAGAACGGGGCGTGATGGGGTGCGAACGAAAACAGGGGCGTGGCTTAGGTTTGGCGCTCCAAAAGTCTAGACACTACGTCGAGTTAATTGTGCTTGTTAGCTCTTTCCACTTTCTTAACACATGAAAATTTTACTGGGAAACAGGGGAAACTATGCACTTACATGTCTCGCTGACCATCTGATCAGAGAAAGCATCGCCACAGAACTGCGGGACGTTGTGTGCGAACCCGTGGCCGCAGTCGATATGGGATCATGCTAAAATGAGAATCCCTGGAGGGTTTGAAGGTTTTAGGAGTTTCGTGGCTCCAAAAAAGTTGCGAAGTGTGACATTCGAGCGCGCCGTTTGCTGTACGGGCCTCGCGGCCTTCACTGGGCAGGAGAGCGGGGCTGGCCCAAGGTGTGGCCGCCCCGGCCGTGTCCCTTCGGGTAACACGACTCCGCGCCGCTCACGAAACACCGCCCGGCGAAGGCTCGGACGCGCAAGTGAGCGCCTCGTCGACTCCGCCCGGGTAGTTGGGACCTCGAAACCACACTGCAGGGCCTGCAGGCGGCGCGCTTTTCGGTCGAGTGCCGCTCGTCGTCATCGCCCTCACGGTTTCTAGGGCAAGCCGCGCCAGCCGCGCCAGCAAGGGTCGAAGCTCGCCCGGAACGCCTGGCCCGCTGTGCCCCGGCCCGGCAGCGCAGGCGGCACCGCGCTCGGCTCGCTGCAGCAGCATGTTCTGCAAGCTATGGGCGTCACTCATGTGCGCCCCCTCCCCCTCCCCGCCGGGGGAGTTATTTCTGGTGCTTCCCTGCCACGACCCGCACGGCCGCAACCTGCCCGCGGCGCGGTGCTTGTCCTGCGGAGCGAAGTGCTTTCCGCGCTTTGCCGCGCTTTGCCGTCGCCGGCCCGGGAAATCGAACGGACCGGCAGGCCGTCCGTCACGTCAGAGTCCTGGCTGCCCAGCGCAGAATCGCACTGTGCGATGCTTCCCCGCGACGCCCCCGTACATGATTTTGGCACGTCATAGCCACGCTGTTGTCTTTCCGAACGTTGTCAGCAAAAAAGAAGGACTTCACGTGGAATCTTCTGTCGGACTGTTTGCTCGTCACTCTGAACGCGAATGCGTTTCTTCTTCTTCTGACTTGTTTCGACGGAACGCATTCGCATCTGCCATGCTGTTTGAGTGCAGAGTTGTCGCGTGCGGTCCGGCAGAGCAGAGTGCACTCTACAAAAAATGTCCTG